TTTGTTTGTTTTTTGTTTTCGTTTTTTTTTTTTCCCTAACATTCATTCCCTGAGCATCATCACAGCGTATTAAATGTAATTTCCCATCTAGAATAGACTGCACAGTGACCCAATCAAGCATGTTATCATCAATAATATTCCACTTCTACTTTTTGCTTATGCACATATATATGTTTTTTTTTTCCTCTTCCTCTCTTTTTTTTTTTTTTTTTATTTTTCCTATGTTTGTCCCTCTGCCCTGTCTCACTCTCCCATTACAATATCCCTGCTATATACAGTTGTCTTCCGGAAGAGTTACTGAAAAAGTGATACATACAAGTAAAGGGAGAGCGGCCACGAGTTCCAACCATCAGCTAAACTCCACTCAGGGTTGGATTAAGGAAGGGTCTCCGGCAGATCCACAAGTGTAGGTGAGTCTCCAAGGAATGCAGTTTCAGGAAAGCAGTTCTGGTACACAGGGATGATTATCAGCTGATGCGGCACAGCAGTCATCTTGTAGTTACCAGGAATGGTGTTGTGGGGGTCTGCAGTGTGAGTTGTCCTTGGGTATCTGGCTTCCTTAAAAATGGCAGATTAGTTCTTGTTTTCCCCTGAGGTAATGCAGGGCTGGTAACTGTCATCTTCTTAAGTTGCAAGTTCTTCAACCTTGTTTTCAGCCTCCGGGCCATCCCGGGCCAGAGAGGCAGGGAGGGGCAGGGAGGCCCCCCGGCGGCGTGGCGCGCCCCCCGGAGTGGGGGGGGCTCCGGCCAGGCCGTTCCCGGCGCGCGGCTGCGCTGGGGCCAGGCCGTTCCCGGCGCGCGGCTGCGCACCACCAGTTTTCATAGAAACAGGTGCCTCTGCCTCAAGCCTTCCTTGTGTCCAGGCTCCATCACTCAGCCCTGCTTCTCAGGACTCTGTCCTGTTGATCGCCCCTCATTTCTCTTCTTCCATTGCTCCCTCAATACCTATTCTTTCCATCTATAAGTCTCACCTATCTTTTTCTTTTTTTAATTCTTTTGGTTCCAGCAATGACAACTCATAGATAATGGGCTTTGGTGTGGAAAGTCAAGGCACATGAAGGTTTTTCCCTGAACTCAGCATGGCACTAAGAATGACACTAATTCCAGTCTGGATTTCCCCACCTTACAGTTGGCCCTCTGTATCCATGGATTTCACACCATGGAGTCAACCAACAACAGATGAAAAATTTGGGTAAGAAATAATAATACAACAATAAAAATAATATAAGTAAAAAATGATACTATATAGTACAAACATTTACATAATACTTACATTGTGTTAGGCATTACAAGTAATCTAGAGATGCTTAAAGTATTTGGAAGGATGCACTTGGCTATATGCAGATACTACATCACTTTACATCAGGGACTTGAGCATCTGTGGATTTTTGTATCTGCAGGGTCCTGGACCCAACTCCTTATGGACACCGAGGGATGACTGTTCACTACTCCCTCCTACAATAATATAGGACTACATGAAAAAAATATAAGGAATTTAAATAATAACATAAATAAACATAGAAGCAAACAAATAATGTGACTAACCAGTTTCCCCTGGCAGTGTGGCTGAGTTTTCCAGCCATTTAACCCAACTGGAACCCTGATTTAGATGTCTCCCTCTCAGGGCTATAAAGTAATAATTATTTATCTCAGAAGAAACTGAGATTGAAATGCTGTTGCCCCTATGCCCAAAGTGCCATTGTTGGCAAGTGGCAGACCCAGAACTGCAGCACAGGCCCATGCACCTGCCATTTCAGACACAGCCTCCCATCCCTGTCCTTCAGCACTGGATTAATATACAACTACACACTCACACACACACACACACAGCTCGTGAGAACCAGTGTACATGCCAACACAAAGTCTGACCCACCGCAATATTTAGCACGTCATTGTGGTTTTTCCTCTTACAAGAATTGAGAAGTGGTAAATATTTCTCTTATGTTCCTCCAGTGACATACATACATTCTGTGTTTGCATGTGCCAGAACCTGAAAATAACAGCAAAGTGAGTAGGTGTGTAAAAGGATGGTGGATTAGGAGGATGTTTTACGATTTATTGCAAGTTCCACTATTCATTTCTTAAAATAGTAGTAGTAGTAATCATAACAATAATGATGATAGCTAACAACTATTGGTTGGGAACTATGCATTAGTTATTCACATTTAACAACTCCTTTACTCATCAAAACAGCTCACTGAAATAGGTATTACTGTATTTCTCCAATTCTAAGATACACATTTTAAAAATCACACATTGGCATTTTAACCTGTATTAAATCATGATAAGAAAGTATTGTTGTACTATAACTGTTGGTAAGTCTTTTTTTTTTTTAATCTTTTATTAGTATACAAACTTAGAGTACATTTTACAAATGAGCAGCTAAGGTAGAGAAACGTTAGTTTGTAATATTTGTGTAGAATTATCTGTACTTGCTAGAGAGAGAGAGAGAGGGAGAAAACACTGCTGATAGGGCATGGCCATGCCACAGTCACTTCTCCTCCATTTCTCACTCTGGTCATCATTTTGGGCATATATTCACTTCAGGCCTTGCATCCTTTTCAAGTTGCCAGATCCAAGATTTTAACTGTGGCTGGCCATATGGGATCCAACTCCCTTAACTACTTACCTATGGAGTGGCCTGATATTCTGAGTTTTGAAAAGAAATTTATTTTTCCTGGACCTTTGAAATGTTTCTGTTTTTAAAATAGTGAGTAGATATGCTTGACTATTTTATGGGAAGGTGTCTTTTAAAAGAATACTGAGAAAAAATTCAATTGCAATTCAGTCAAATGCCTTTTCTTGTGGTCTCTTGCATTTCAGAAGGATCAGATAGCACACACAGAAATGTCAAATACCTCCCCCCCCCAAGAATTATTTATTTATTTTTATTTATTTATTATTATTATTCAGTTTGAAGAGAGAGAGAGAAGAGTGAGAAAGCAAGCTACCAGGTCCAAGAATTGAACCATGGTCAGTCATGTGGGAGTCCTGCATATTAACTACCACACCATCTGCCAGCCCCTTTTTAAAAGGTTTCTTTCTTTCTTTCTTCTATGGGAGAACAGAGAGACAGGTATCCCCAGCAGGGTCTTCACACTGTAATTTATTCCCAGTGTCTGCTTGTCCAGATCATCCATACATGTGTGCCAGTCATACTCAGGGAGGTCCTGGGATACAAACCCAGAACCTTTCCCACATGGTTTCAGTGGCATTACCATTGTGCAGTCATCTGGTGCATCATGCTTTTCTGTCTTCGGGCCAAGTGCTCCCAAATAGTTCCATTCCATTAGGTGGAGCAGTGTGCATGGTAAGGGACAGTCCCACAGCTGGTAGGAAAGGAGGTAGCTCATATGGAATGTAGACCCTGGTGATTGCCTTCCAACAACAATTTACAAACCTCTACTTCCTTGTTTGGGATTGTTTTATACCACTATTGACAGAAGGTTATATATTTCCAAGAGGCTGAGTCTTCTCAACTTCCCCAGCTCCAGGGTGAATTGCTGATCAGTCTAAGGCTCTAAGCCATTTATAGGAAATATAGTAGATCCTCCTTGCCTGGAAATAGTTTAGAAATTATTATATGATTCAAAACTATACAATAAGAAATGGGAATGAGGTAGTAGTATTCTGAAGAGCTTTCTGGGAAAAGTTTTCTCACAGATGAGAAGAAAATTATGAAAAGGAATAGCTCCACGCTAATATTTGAAATGTCATTAAGGCTGGAAGTGGTTGTATTTTCCATTCTTTTTATAGTTCACTGTTTTTCTGTTTCACATAATAGTGATTTTTTTTCTTTCAAAATAATCATTGCCATCCTTTTCTTTTAGGTCAGTATGATATTTGTAATGCAAATACCCCAGTAATACATAGACTCCCACTGCTGTGAATTACTTAGTCAGCACTCTAAAACGGTTTAGGTGGTATAGTGGGTTGGCTTGTGGTCACTCCAAATGATATGTCCATGTCTTAATCTCTGGAACTTAATTCTTTTAACTGTGATCGTTTGTTTCTTTATTTGGAAAAAGGGTCTTTGCAGATAAGTTAAAGACCTTGAGATGGGAAAATCATTCTGGACTATCTGGGTGGGCCCTAAATTCAATGACAAGTGTCCTTAAGAGTAGCAGAGGGCCAACACATGGCATAGTTGGATCCCATATGGTGGTCTGTATGGTTTTAGTCCTGGATCCAGTGACTTGAGAAACACACCAGGCACACGTGTGTGTATATGCCAAAAATTCCAAAATGAGGGAGAAACAGACGAGAGGAGATTGTGGCTTGACCATTCGCCATTGAGGGTGCTTTCTCACTTTTTTTTTTCTCTCTCTCTCTCTGACTCTTTGTCGTTCATTCCCCAGTGAGCACATGTGCCCTCCAGTAAAATTAAAATAAATAAATGGTGAAAAAATAACAAGAGCAATAGTGTCCAGCCATGGTGGCACAATGATAATGTAATGTCTTATAATGCTAGAAGCCAAATGGAAGTTCGGAGGTCAGTTCCTGTGTTGATCTGTATGTTCCAGGCATGTAAGTACACATGTGCAAATGACCCTGACTGGCTGAAAGGCTTAGATGGGGGAGATAGAGACAACTGGAAGGGTATTTATCTCTCATGAAAGAAAGAAAGAAACTGTTTTGTTTTTTGTTTTTTCTTTTTCTTTCTTTAAGAGTGAAATCAAGAGAAACTGATACAGACACAGAGGAGAAAGCCATATGAAAACAGAGTTAGAAACTGGAGTGATGAGACCAAAAACCAAGGAAACCAAAGAATACCAACAGCCACTGAAAGCTTGAAGAAATAAGGGTGGACTCTTATCTAGAATCTCAGGAGGGAGTAAGAACTTGATTTCAGACTTCTGGTCTCCAGAGCTGTGAGAGAATACATTCCTTTTGCTTAAAACAGTCTATTTTGTGGCAATTTGTTGTAGCAATAACAGGAAACTAATGCTGATGGCAGGGGCTTACTGAGAACATAGAAGAAAAGGGGGAGAAAAAGACCCAAAAAGGGAAGCCCAGGTGTCAGGGAGGGGGCTCAGGAACTCCCCAAGCTTGCTAACAATCAGCCTTTCTCTAGAGTCCAGCTTTGATGCCAAACAGGCCAGTTAGCCTGTGTTTTTCTCCACAGTCAAAGACAAACTCCTAAGTCCTTCTAGTTTCTCGTTATCCCAATCCTAGCTATAGACATTGCTCCTCCCTTTGGCCATTTGTCTTTCAGATACATTTTTTTAGGCACAAATAAGCCATAAGCAGTATAAAAGATTCTTCATCACAAAGTTTTCTCATTCCTAGGGGGTATAACTCTGTCTCTCTACAAGCCTTTAGCTTTTCATGAGAAGATGGACACATTTGGTAGATTCATTCCCCCAGGTGAATCTGCCCAAGTAACTGACATAGCTGGAGACTCTGGCAGAGTTAGGAATAGAAGTTGGGTTTGAAGGAACTAATATTTGTTGTGCAAGTAATCATGAGCTTGGATCCTCATTAGGTGTTTGATATGCACGATCTCATTTAATCCTCATAAGATTCTCATGAGGCAAGTAAGAACAGTATTCCTATCTTACTGTCACTCACAGGGGACATTATGTGCCCGTGATCACACAACTTGTAAGTGACAGAAATGGGATTCAGGGTCGTCTGGCTCCAAAGCTTATGTTCTTTATATTAGGAATTGCTGCCTCCCTGTGGAAGTTAGAAGATTGTCAAGTTTGAGGGCAAAGGATGAATGAAGGAAGAACTGGGCTCATGCATCTCTGTTACTC